TAGAACATTTTGATCTCAAGTCTCATCCCGTAAAAAAATTTACCGATATTTAGGTACCTGTAACCCTAAAAAAAATGAACGGATATAGACATACCCAAATACCCATTTCCCATTGCCCACCTTAGAAATGGCTTTCTCCACTAGGGATGGCAAAAAAACCCGAACCCACCCTACCCAACCCAACCTTGTCGACGCGGGTTTTACTTGCGTTGACGGATTTCGGGCCGGGTTTTGGTTTAAACTCGTATACTATTCACCAAGTTGGGTTGGGTTAGGGTTTAGGGGTACCCGACTCATGGATATCCGCCCACACTTATTTTGTCGCCCTACTCTCCCCAAACCCTACCCTAATTCTAATTTCCTCCAATCTAACTATCACTACACTTATTCCGTGTGATTCTTTTAGTGTAATTGTGATATATTTGAATTTTCTAGAATGGTGTTTTATTTTATGTATGGATAATTTGTATGGGGAAATTGATGTTTGAATTATATTTTGGTAGGAACTCGTCATTGTATATTTTTTACCACAAAAACTCATGGGTACCCATGAACCCGCGGATACCCAGCGGGTTGGGTTGGGTTTGAGTTTTCCAAACCCAGTGGGTTTTACCGCTGTTTTTTTTTATGGATAATCCCATGGGTTTGGATTTGGGTTTGGCAAATCCCGACTCATTTCCATCCCTATTCTCCACCTGTTCACGCTAATAACCATTTGGAAACCTTTGTGAATTCTGCAATGGGATGGGAGTTAGGAGGGACACCAGGGTGGTCGGCCATCGAGAAGGGTAACAATTAGAGGTGACAAATGAATTGGATCAATAGATTGATGGATTGCATTGATAGAGTCATGGATCAAGTGGATTGGATCAAGTAGATTGGATCATATGGATGTGTGGATTGATCCATTGATCCGAATGACATCCAATCTTTGGATCAAAATGTAAATTTTGAAAAGTTTAGGTACTAAAATAATAAAAGTTCTTAGATACTAAAACGTAATTTTCCAATAACATTTTTCGTATAAAAATAAATTTTAGGTACTAAAATATAAAAAATATAGGTACTAAATTGTAATTTATCATTTGAATTCATGGATCAATCCACAAATCCACCAATTCAATTGGATTTGTATCAAATGGATTGGATTTAAATAGATTGAATCTAATCTAACTAAGAGATTCTCGTGCACCACCCACTTAAATTACTTTTTCTTGACTCCTGCGCAAAGCACGGAAGGGTCGTGTAGTCTATTCATTCTTTGTTTTCACTTAATTCAGCGAAGCCTCTTGGTTGGATTTAATAATTCAGACGGGCCTCTATATTTCCAGGCAGGTCCAATTTCATTTATCTCTTTATTTCAGCGGGCCTCTTGGTCTTTGAATTTTTAATTCAAACATGTCTATAATTCCAGTAGAGGTGGCAAATGGATTGATCCATGGATCGGTGGATTGGATTGGTGGATTCATGGATTGGATCAAGTGGATTGGTGGATTATCCATTAATCCAAATGACATCCTCAACCAAAGACCAATATGTAAAATGTGAAAAGTTTAGGTACCAAAATATCATAATGAAAAATTTTAGGTACCAAAACGTAATTTTTCAATGATATTTTTCTTATAAAAATTAAATTTTGGGTACCAAAATGTAAAATATAAAAAGTATAGGTACCAAACCGTAATTTGCCATTTGGATCCATGGATCAATACATGAATCCACCAATCCAATTGGATTTGGATCAAATGGATTGGATTTAAATGAATTGAATTAAGTGGATATTTTTAAAGGGTTGGTAGATTGGATTGGTGGATTGGATCGAGAATTGCCACTTCTAAATTGCAGGATGCGGCGGAAAGAAAAGAGAAACATGTTCACTTATATATTAGACACCAAAAACTTAATAGCATGGAGCGTTCATCTTAGATATGAATTTTCTTCACTAACTGTATTTATACTAGAGAATCATGCATCTCATCTTCATGTTTGAATCTTAAATAGTTAATTAAGGTTTTCATGTTCATGCTAGAACTCTCTCCATCATCAACTATTTTGTTTAGATTATTTAGACTAATATTTTTGACAACTACATTTCTTATAGTTCAATTGCTTCAAGGATATGTTAAATATTTTTTTTTTGTAGAATCATCCAAACAATCAAACATTGTGTTTGACTTTCTTTATCTAACATAAATTTTTTAATTATATGCATCTTACAATTTAATGTGCGTTTATGTCACATTATTGAGTTAGGAGAAAAGGTGTGATTGAGTCTCACCAGTTTCTAATTACGTTTTATAATGGTATGAGCATTGATTAACTATGAATTGTTTATAATCTCTATAACTATTTTAAAATTAATGCACATAAGTCATAGTTGAAGAGAATTGATTAATCATTGATAAAATTACTAAGAAGAAAACGTGCTCTTAATAAAGGCAATAGCATATAGACGAAAAAATTATCAACATTCCTACCGGAAATCCGTTATAATGAGAGAAGTGTTTGTTGACGATGAATATAGTGAAGTTGATGATGAAGATTTTTTATAGTAAAAAGGTACTAATATTGGTCATTTGGAAAATCTACAATATCGTGTCATTAAGTTTACTATAAGTTTATATACCCTTGCATGAGTTCTATTTTTTTAATTTCACCAATAATTTGTATAGAAGGTACCGATTATAATGTTAGTAATCTTTCTTATGGATGCTCATTTTCTATTTTCCAAGCAATTGAAAAATTAGACTTTCTTGATAGTAAAAACTAAGAAATTGTCTTGCTATTTTTAAAAATTGACACTATTGCTCATTCATTCGGATGACATTGGCATATAATCATGGCACAAATATAAGAAAAGAGGATATTGCTGAAATTTAAATTTTGAAGTTTTATTAATTTGTGTTATCATATTGCAACCGGCCAACGAGCCTGGTACAATCTAGTAAGTTGGATATTTAAGTAGATGGATTGGTGAATTGCCTAGTAACAATGCATGCAGACCACAGTCTGCTCCAGTGCCAACCGTGGCGGAGTAGTTCGTTCTTTCGCGTTGAAATAAGTATCAGAATTCAGGAAAAAATCCAAAAGTACCACTGTTTAAAAAAAAAATTCCAAAAATACCACCCAATTCCAAAAAATTCCAAAAATACCACCCTTTTTCAAAACCGCTACCCCACCCAGCGGTTTACACGAAAACCGTTTGTCGGGGGCGCGGTTTTCTATGCAAACCGCGGGCCTGGGGGCGGTTATAAAAAAAAAAAAAATTTGACCAAACCGCTGGGTGGGGTGGCGGTTTGACCCAAAACCGCCACCCCACCCAGCGATTTGGTCCAAATTTTTTTTTTTCGATAACTCCTAACTTCGGCCGAAACTTCAAATGAACGTAACTATGCACTCGGGTATCCGATCGATGCGATTCTTTTTTTTTCATTTCGCATATCATTTCAAGATCTACAACTTTTAGTAGGATGAAATTTTCAAAACAGGAACTATTTGTGGATATACGGAACCTTGAGAATAACTTTACCTTTACTTTTCACAAATCCATGTACATTTTGAAATTATGATTATATTAAAAGTTGTAGATCTTGAAAAGTTATGCGGAATCAAAAAAAATTCATAACATTCGGATTTTGGAGCACAAAGTTATGACCGCCCAAAGTTTGACGAAATGTGAGACCTGCGGTATGCGGCTTGCAAGATCTCAAAAAGTTTGCGGCCTCCATTTTTTGAATCCGAATAGCTTTTTGAGATCTTGCAAGCCGCAAACCGCCGGGTCCCGTCTTCGTCTCGAAAAAACGTCATTTGCCACCCCGAACGAGGCTTTTTTTGATTTCGTCAAACTTTGGGCGGCCATAACTTTGTGCTCCAAAATCCGAATGTCATGAATTTTTTTTTTATTCCTCATAACTTTTCAAGATCTACAACTTTTAATATAATCATAATTTCAAAATGTACATGGATTTGTGAAAAGTAAAGGTAAAGTTATTCCCAAGGTCCCGTATATCCACAAATAGTTCCTGTTTTGAAAATTTCATCCTAGTAAAAGTTGTAGATCTTGAAAAGTTATGCGAAATGAAAAAAAAAATCGCTGCGATCAGATACCCGAGTGCAAAGTTACGTTTATTTGAAGTGTCGGCCGAAGTTAGGAGTTGATCGAAAAAAAAAAAAAATTGGACCAAACCGCTGGGTGGGGTGGCGGTTTTGGGTCAAACAGCCACCCCACTCAGCGGTTTGGTCAAAAAAAAAATTTTTTTATAACCGCCCCCTAGGCCCGCGGTTTGCATAGAAAACCGCGCCCCCGACAAACGGTTTTCGTGTAAACCGCTGGGTGGGGTGGCGGTTTTTGAAAAAGGGTGGTATTTTTGGAATTTTTTGGGATTGGGTGGTATTTTTGGAATTTTTTTTTAAACAGTGGTACTTTTGGATTTTTTCCCAGAATTCAAGGGCCGCAACTAACTAGCATTATTCGTTCTTCGGCTGGAGTATTAATCATTCATCATTTACTTAATAAAGCTCACGCTATACCGTCAGGAACTTGGCACCAATAGAGCGCGACAGAAATTATATTATCTGATTCGGAAACATAAAGCAAGCTCTTTCTGGTTGTACTTGTACATCTCAAAATTACCATGGCAACAAACAAAATCGACTCTCCGCTCAACAAACCTAACAAAAAACTGGAGCCTTCTTGGCACTCGCAACAAACCTGAAGTCTCCAGTTCGGTTCCATACTGCAAGCAAGCAAGCAAGCAAGCAATATAAACGAAGAAAGAACAACAAAGAATCAAAGAATAGAGGAAGATTAACCTGGAAACGAGAAAAGATGTGGTTTCCAGATAAACTTGCTATCTGGATTCACCCATAATTAAGGCCAGAGGGATAAAGAGAGAGCAACTGTGGATGACGAGACTGGATTAAATCAAGCTACAGCCTTGCCCTTCTTTCTTTAACACTGCACATAATAGTTTCCGGTGCCTGCCACGGTTTTGACTTCCTTAAAGCCCTTTCCCTTCGTCCTCGTTCAGAATGCGATTCCTGAAGTCGCTCACCATGAGTGGCAACCCATCTTTCAGTGAGATTTTAGGCTCCCAGTTCAGCAGTTCTTTTGCTCTTGCAATGTCCGGTTTCCTCTTGTGCGGATCATCTGCAGTGTTTGGCCTGAACTCTATTGTTGCACTTGGATCAATTACTGCTTTCACCACCTTCATCATTAACCAAAGTGCAAGTCAGCATAAGCACAACAGGAAGCAACACTTCACATCTCATCCTATTCAGAAAGGGAAAATAAATCCACAAGCCCATGTCAGGGGCCAAACCTCAGCAAGCTCAAGCATGGTGAACTCTCCTGGATTCCCAAGATTGAATGGACCAACATGCTCACCTTCCATCAGTGCTACCAATCCCTCCACCTGTCATTCAAAGGAGCATCTGTAAGGAGCTGACTACAATCTCAAAGCTCCTCCGACAGTAACACACAACTGCTCCACTCAATTGCGCCGACGATGCACTACTAAGACTTTCACACAGTTGTCCCTCCCTCACTAATGTTTGCAAACACTGTGGGCAACTAGTCCTCGTATGTTACGGTCACTCATCCGATAGAACTTTCTAACTCACTCCATAGTAAGTCTGAAACATTGACAGTTAGCATGACAGCTCCCTCTCCTCACAAAGCCCATAATTTGTAGTCTATTAAGTTAGAGACAACTTAGGGGCAATCTTCACTTGCAATGCTCTTTTCCGTCTAGCTAACCACCAATTTGGCGTATACACAGAAGTTGACTGCTTGTTCATGCTACCTAAGATTGGCTAACTGCATGACAATCCTTAAGGCTTTGATTTCCTGTCACTGAGCGGGATCCAAGGCGTATTCACCTAGCCCCTGCTTAGCAGAGTTGTCAAATGTAATCTGCTGACTTTGACTAATGGCTTTGCATTCGCGTGTTCTGCAAGCTTTAGAAAATTTCCAAGCTTCCGATCCATATTGGAAGCTCCTTGTTTGCGGAAGAAAGTATTAGATAGCAGTATGTCGTACCAAGTCAGAAACATATTGGAAGCTCCTTGTTTGCTTCCCATCACCATACACAGTCATAGGTTGTTTGCGGATGGCCTGAAAAAATCCAATAACAATTTTAGTACAGTTGACAATCAATAAGAAGATCATAGACTGAGGTCACTCATAAGTTGGCTGCCAAAAGTAAATTAAGTATATAAGTTTCAGATAAGATCGCATCACATAGAAGTCACGTGTGCTTAATACTAAAGAGGAAAGCCAAACCTGAGCCACAAAATTGCTGACAACACGTCCATCATCCAAACACATGCGAGGTCCATAGGTGTTAAAAATGCGAGCAATACGCACCTACAAATAGATAGGAATCGAGGGTGAATTTAGTACTACAAAATTGGAGTTAACTGATGGTGTAAATCTACCACGGGAACAACTCAGAACACCTGTCCTTAACCGCCTACTATGACGTGAGAAACTAAAGAAGGAAGGCACATGTCCAACCTACTTAGGACTTAAAGCTCAGAGATCATCCTTCAACATTTATCAATTAATAGGTTCATTCCTCGTCTGTGAGTGGAGGAGTAGGCTTGACAGAATTATTGGTTTGAAAAGGACGACAACTGCAATAGAATAGAAGAAACCACTAGGAAAGGATTCTTAACATTCCATGGCAGGTCCATCGAATTATATAGTCACATCAGAAAGGTTAACTTTTCAGAACTATTCATGGAAATCAAAAAGAAGCGGACCAAGATAAGCCAGTACCATACAACTTTGTAATGGTTATGATAACAACACTGAATGCAAGTTAAGCATCCAGATCTTAAATGCTATCAATATTTAAAGAAAACGGCAGTTACCTCAACACCAGCACCTCGGTGGTAATCCATGGTCAATGTCTCTGCTGTTCGTTTTCCCTCATCATAACAGCTCCTCTCACCTAATCAATTTGCAGTCACCAAACTTTGCAGTCAATGAACAACCCATAGGCCATATCCTTTCTCAAAGAAAAAGAAAAAACAACACATTGATTGTCACAATTAGAAACAAACAAACCAATTGGATTAACATTTCCCCAATAGGTCTCCTTTTGTGGATGCTCAAGCGGGTCTCCATAGACCTCACTGGTACTGGTCAGCAGAAATCTGGCACCTACCCTCTTGGCCAAACCCAACATATTCAGCGTCCCCATGACATTTGTCTTGTAAGTCAGGCAATCACAGTCAAGGATCTCAAAACCAAATCCCAAACCCACGAAATTATTAACAACAGCGAAATGAAGCGAACGATTAGAGTGCAATACGCCAATAAGCATCCATTAATGGAGATGATAATAACTAATTAGAAAGGATATGATTGTCTTGACGGGATTGTACTTGTAATGAACCGGAGATGCAGGGCAAGCCAAGTGATAGATCTGATCTACCTCCAACAGTATAGGCTCCACAACGTCGTGACGAATGAGCTCGAACCTCGGGTTCCCAAACAAATGAACCAAATTATCCTTCCTCCCCGTGAAGAAATTGTCAATCACAATTACCTCGTCGCCGCGGGTAATCAACTTATCCACGAGATGGCTGCCGACGAATCCAGCTCCCCCGGTCACCACAATCCTCAACCTCCGGCGGCCGAGATCCGCAGGCACCCGACCGGAAACCGTCCTTCTCTGGAATATGCCCGAAGATCCGCGGTTGGAGGACTGAACAACAGAAGAAGATCCGGACAAGGAACTGGTGACGGCAGGGCGAGCCTCGGAAGGGCCGAGGCGGGAGAGAGAGGGCTGGAGGATGAAGAAAGTAGAGCCGATCAGAACCCCGACGAGGACGAAGAGGAGGCGCTGCTCGCGGAAGAGGTAGTTGATGGATCTGGGAAGGGATCTAGGGTGTTTGAGTGTCTTGGGTGAGTACTGAGTGGCCGGCATCTCCTCGTCCCGACGGTAGTTCACGCTGGCTTGTTTGTGCAACTGCTTCATTCTTCAGGCCGAGCTCCGGAGAGCGATTCCGGTGTGAACCGAACCGACGGTGGAGCTAGAAATAGAAGGAGGGGAAATTGCAAGAATTAAGAGCTAGGAGAAGGGAATTGCCCGTAGGGGAATGGCAGTTATTTGGGCAGTTAGGAATTCGTCTGAACTCCGACACCGAGTGCAGGAAGGAAGGAAGGAAGAAAAGAAAAACAAAGGGAAAGCAGCAGGAGAAACGGACCCGTGGAGATTGACGGTAACCAAACAACCCAACCACCGCATCTCTTGCTCTGGGACGTTCAAGGGCTGCTTAATGAGCCCAGCTAAATGGGCTCTCTACATAGCATTCCGGCCCAGTTAATAAAGGAAGCTATAAAACAGACGGATTTCTCTTCTCTGCCTGCCTTTGAATAATTTCTAGGGTTTTGGAAGAGACCGCAGTGCAGAGCGGAGCAGCACAAGGATGGGTAAGCGAACTCAACCCCGACCTCTGATTTCTTTCTTTCTCCGTTGCATTTTCCAGTGAGCTCGATTTGTTGGTTATTTCCTGCCGCTAATTCGATTTCTGGTGTGGTGGTGAATACATCAGCGAGGATTAAAGTTCACGAGTTGAGGAACAGGAACAAGACAGAGCTCTTGAACCAGTTGAAAGAGCTTAAGTCCGAGCTCGCTCTCCTCCGCGTAGCCAAGGTCACCGGCGGTGCGCCGAACAAGCTCTCCAAGATGTAAGGACCATTTTTGTTCCGTCTCCGATCGACTCTCCTTTCCGTGATTCATATGATTTCTTTCCCTTCTTTGGCAGCAAGGTGGTGAGATTGTCGATTGCGCAGGTGCTGACAGTGATTTCGCAGAAACAGAAGGCCGCGCTGAGGGAAGTTTACAAGAATAAGAAGTTGTTGCCTCTGGATCTCCGTCCCAAGAAGACCCGTGCTATTCGCAGACGCCTCACTAAGCACCAAGTGCGTGCTCTCTTACTTTCGCATTTTATGTTTATGATTGCGTGTGTCATTCACAATATCTTTTGCACTAGGAGTAGAAGAATGCTCAGCCTAGAAAGATGCTGTTCACTTCATACGAGCTTAGAAATAGACAAGTATTTGCAGAGAAATGAAAGCAATACAAGTGGTGGCGACTTGGTTTTTGGTGGAAGCGATGGTTAACTAGTGTGAATTAGGGAGGAGTGTTGAATTGAATGACGGACCTAAGGTTACTGCTATCTGGAGACTGGAAGTGAGCCTGTTTTTATTGTGGAGTGTTGTTGTATAATAACTACTATTATTATATGTGCGAAGCTGGAACTGTACAAGCTCCTTGCCTGTTAGGCTATTACTAAGCTATGTCCTGCATTCTGTCTTGTGTTGTCTTTGCCAACTCCGATTAGACTGATCATTGTTTCTCTATTGCTGGTCGCAGGCATCTCTGAAGACAGAGCGGGAGAAGAAAAAGGAGATGTACTTCCCATTGAGGAAATATGCAATCAAAGTTTAGGGTAGTGAAGGATTGATTGCACTTCGATTAAAAATGTTTTGTTTTGTCATTTGTGAGTCGAATGCCAATCTTTTATTAGTTCAACCTCTGGGTTTGTTTTGTTGGAAGACGTAAATTTCTTACTTTTTGTCCAGAATTCATGATCTTTTGTTCGTTCCCCTTGTTTGCAATGTTGCTCAAATGCCACAAACATCTAAAAATAAACGGGTATAGAGTGTGCAATTACACCCATTTCATCTAGGGGTGGCTATATGGTTCGGTCCGGTTAAATTGACTCAAATTGATCCGGTCCAGTCCGGTCTTTTTGAAAATATAAGAGACCGAATATTGGATTGGATACAGTCAGGTCTTGATCCAGTCCGGTTTTGATCCGGTCCGGTCCCAATTCGGTCTTGATTTTACATTGAGATTGTGGGATTTGAGTGGCCTAAGGCCTTAAAGGGTGAGGAGTTGGTTAAGTTTTGTACTAAGTGCAAAGGTTTGTGACCGTTTATGCAAATTACCCTTAAGTTTTGGATGTTGAGCTCTCTTATCCGGTCTTTATCCGGTTTTTTTACCTCAAATCTAAGTCCAAAGATTGGATTGGATTGTTTACTATCCGGTCTCGGTCCGGTCTCGGCCGGGTTATACGGTCCGGTTTCCGATTTTTAATCCGGTCCCGGTCCAAATAGCCACCCCTAATTTAATCTACCTATAAAAGAGAAAAGCGTAAGGGGTCGTTTGCTTCATGGATTTGGTACCCAAATCAAATCCATCATGGATTTAACAAAAATCCATTGTTTGCTTGTACTTATTTTGGAGACCAAATTTGTGGAGTCCACGGATTTTAAGGGTCAAAAATTCGTGGACCCCACGGACTTATAAATCCCACATGTTGATGTGGGATTTGGAAAATGACATAAATCATTGATGAGATTTTATCTATATACCCTCATGCACTTTTAATATTCAAAGGTTGTCCTCAAATTTAACTATTACACATTATAATTAATCAAGTAATTAACAATAAATGAATAATATAAACAATCAATTAATGTGCAAACATGAGTTAGATTTTTTATATCACTTATTGTGTTCTAGTTTTCGTTCACTTTTTCATGGAACATGTAATTCTTTGTTGTCCCGATTCTAATATATGTTGTTATATGTTACTTTTGAAAAGGAGGACAAAGAATTGATAATTGATTATGTTACGTTAAAAGTTAAACGGAATTTTCTCGTTTATTATTATTGTCCATGTGGCAACATTATGCTTATTAGTATGTATTGTCCTTGTTTTGTGTACATATCATAAACATGTCAAAGTGGTCCTGGTCCATCAAGTGGTAATCGGCAAACCGGTATTCGGTATTACTGGATAACGGTGGTATCGGTATTCGAGCGTGAAATTTTCTATTCGGTAATACCGGATACTAAGCGATAACTACCGACGGTATACCGGTATACCGCAATACCGAAACTTAACTATAAAAAAAACGCAGCGGATTGGATTTGGGAATTGGGGGTAAACTAAACCCTAAATCTAAATTGTCATCGACCTTGCCAGTTGCCTCCCCTGCTGCACGCTGTGCTCGAGCTCCACTCCATTCTCCTTTGATTCAATCTGAAAGGCGAAGGCGATCTTGCCGCCCCCAGCCCCAACCGCCGCCCCGAGGCATCACGCTCACATCTTCGTCTTCCTCTTCTCTTCACCACCAGCAGCCAGTAGGAGTCCCCGATGCTGAATCGATCTCACCTCCCCAGCTCCTGCCCCAGGCATCTCCGTCTTCCTCCTCTTCACCACCAGGCACCAGCACTCGTCGCCGACGGAGAGAGCTATGTCGCCCCCACATCTCCGTCGTCCTCTTTTATTCACCACCAGCAGCAGTCCCCGACGGAGAGAGCTACGTCGCCAACCGCCGCTTCTTGAAATCGACAGCAAGGTCAGGGTTCAAAGTCGACTTCCTCCTGCCATCCCCGACCGGCCGACCCCTAGGCCGACTTCCTCCTCGCCATTCCCGACCCGGTATTCGGTATTATCGGTTTAATACCGGTTACCGACTATCTGGTATACCGGTATTTTGGTTAACATTCGATATTGGTATTCGGCGGGCACAATATATGTTTTCGGTATACTGAATATCGGGTTATTGGTATCTGGTATACCGGATACCGACCGACTACCAGCCCTATCCATCATCTACAGATATCCCCTAAAGAATGAGCCACAATAGGCAAGTAAGTCGTCGTTTGGAAGTTGATGTGTTGAGTTATCAAATTTATTGATCAATTGATCTATTAGGAAAATATCTTGTTTAGATTGTGGTTTGTTGTAAAGCAGTAAAAAGTGAATTTTGAATGATAGTGAAAAATCTCAACAAAAACTAGAGATTGATAATATCTCAAATATGAGTGATTGTGGTGGGACCTCCAAAAAAATTCAAGGATATACCCATGAATTTGGATTTGGGTTTGAGTTTGAGTTTAGGTTTAACAAAATCCAATCCAACCCAACTCATTGTCTATCTCTAAAGCTTGCTTAGTTCTTTGATGAATTGAGTGCTAAGTCCGTGACACCACCGTAGGTTTCACGGCTAGGCAGCGAACATCATCCATTACTGCAACTTTTTCACAAAAGCCGAAGAAAAAATCGGCATCATAGTTAGTAAAATACGGTACAGAAAAGTTACGTATAAAATACGTACGGATATTATACTTCGTCTCTTAGCTAATGTTACGTTTAATAGTACGTTAATAGTCATAAATATATAAAATTAATTATTTTTATAAGTAAATAAATATGTAAAAAATAGTAAAGTTAATAATTTATTTCATTAAATACGGATATTAAACATGTTATACGGGTTTTATATGTGTTTATTATGGGAGCCGTCAAATGAACGGAAACTAATGAAACAACTTGACAATAATACAGATACGAAAGTTTTAAACGAATAAAGTACGTATGAGTACGTGTATTAAACAGAGTATTTACTAACTATAATCGGCACTACCATTGCTTGGCCGCTGCGTTTTATTGGAATTCCTTTTTGCATGAAACCTTTCTCTTATTATGAGGCCGCTAAATCGAGCCCAATATTCAGGCCACAAATTTCCAGTAATAGGCCAGGACTCAGTCACCAAAAAGCACAATTGGGTCTGCAACTAAGGCCCATGTTTCCTTCAACTGCTCCAAGAGAATTGTCGCTCCGGTTTTTTCGGCAAGAATTGCTAGTGCGAGAATTGCCTACAGAAACCCTACTCGCCGCTGGCGCCGGAAGTTCCAACTACGGCTTCCCAGCCACCGGACCCAAGTGCTGGGCAACGACGGCCGGCCTCCGCGACGTCATCCCCGAACAGCAAAAGTGAAAGAGAGACGCAGCAACCGAAAAGAGAGCTAAACCTATGTGCGCCAATCCCCTTTTTGAGGCGGAACCGATGACCGAAGATCAAATGCAAGAGGAAGGAAGCTTCAGTGATGGTGAGACGACGAGAAACTATGGTTCCCCAAGTAAACCCCCCCCCCCCCCCCACCACATACAACTTGGGGATGAGGAGCTAAAAAGCTCTTCTCAACTGTGCTTCAAGACTAGGAGTGGTACGTGGTTGAGTTCGACTCGGAGGATGTCGCGGTAGCCATGAGAGAGGACGATCTTGATGATGAGATTCCTGAGGATGAAAACCCGCGATGGCCAACGATACCGTTCACGGCCATGGAGAACACATCAGCATCATCGTCAATGGCAATCGGCGCTCATCGTGAAAGTCTTGGGACGCACGTTTCCTTTCCCTATCCTCTCGCGGCGGCTGGAGACCCTATGGGCCAAAGACGTGACCCTGCAAATCTCTAGTCAGTCGCATGGGTTCAATGTGGTTCGCTTTACGCATTAGATGGATTATAAACAGGCTGCGATGGGGGGTCCGTGGTTGATTGGTAACCATTACATCACTGTTCGAGCCTGGCGGAAGGGATTTGATGCCCGATCGGCTGAAGTTGCCACCACCCGAGTATGGGCAAGATTTCTTGAGTTGCCAGTGGAATTTATTAACCGGGAAGCAGTGGAGAGAATTGCGTCACGCATTGGTCGGCCAGTTTGTGTGGATAGAGCCATAGTATCGGGTGCCTGCACAAAGTTTGGTCGTGCTTTCATGGAGGTTGACCTCACCAAACCCCTATTAGGCCAGTGCAAAGTGGAGGATAAGACCTATCATGTGGAGTATGAAGGTCTGGATAACATTTGTACCGAGTGTGGTATGTATGGACATTCGAAGACCTCGTGTCCAACGCTACGGAAGCAGGCCCGTGAGCACCGGTTGAGCCATCACCTCCCTCCCTGAATGTGACTCCCCCATCGAAGAATGTTGGGGAATGGATGATGGTTAAACCAAAATAGCGGCAGCCTGGTACAAAGTCAAACCAAGGAGGCGGTCAGAAAGCTTTTGTACCCCCTATTGAGAAGACGATGGAACAGACGGGTTCTCGTTTTACTGCTCTTGAAGTGGAAGAGATAGCACCAATGGAAGAGGACACATGACATACTAAAAAGGCACCGGTGTAGGACACTGCTGGAGTGACTAATTCCACGAAAATACCTCCCCATAGGCGAGAGAAAATAGCTCGTCTACTGGGATCCCAGCGACCGTGCGGAACCCAATGGAGCACCAGGCAGCCACTCCTCGACTGGTGGCGGACAAAAGGAAGGGTCTGACTGGACGCGAATCAACGGAAAGGGACCAGGGGCTCGTTGATGTGCCTATTAAACAGATGAAGCTAGGTGTAGAATCAAGGGTGGATACTGCCATGAAGAATGTTGGTGCGGGAGGGAAGGGTGCAAGCTTGCCAATTGGTAAATCCAAACCCCATCTTTCTACGAGCAAGAATAAACGCGAGGATGGTTTCCCCACAGCCCAAGCGCAGGCTTTGCCGACTACTCCTTCAGTGGAAGGAAATACCCGGAGCAGTACCTTGTCAGCTCCTGAGGAAGTGAAACATGGCGGGAATCCTCCCGCTAGCGGTACACCGACCTAACTGGACCTCGGTCCTGCTCCAGGGAAGTTTTCTTCCTGTGTTTTTCTTGCGCTTGTTCTTCTTCTTGTGTCTTTCCTTATGTTAAACATCCTTGCTTGGAACTGCCAAGGGGCAGGTAGTGAAGAATTTCTAGTTTATTTGAGGGATTTATGTGTTTCGACGAGACCGGACCTTGTGATTATTGTTGAACCACGTATAAGTGGGGAGACAGCTAGGAATGTAATCCGCAGGTCGGGTTATGATGGGAATTTAATACTGGATGCTAATGGCTTTTTAGGAGGCATTTGGGTGCTATGGCACAAGGAAAACCTCCAAGTGACGTCGATCACTGAATGGGAGCAGATGATTCATGTTGTGTGTGTTAAGCGTGATGGCAGAGGTACGGTTGCAGTCTTTGCTATTTATGGCAGTCTCAATGCCGCTCTACGTCAGTACCTTTGGGACGAGATTCGACGGCTCTCCTCCAGGACAAACCTTCCCTGGGCCCTGATTGGTGGCTTTAACTCCATCTTAGGGCCCCTTGACAGATGCGGAGGTGTCTCATACCAAGACGCACGCGTCCGACCATTCAGGCGATGTGTAGACGACAGATGGCCGGTTGATATCAATTTTTTGGGGCCAAGATTTACCTGGCATAGAGGTGGTCTCCAACAGCGACTCGACAGAGCTCTTTGCAACCAGCAACGGTTGACCCTCTTTTCTGGGACAATCACAAGACATATGGAGAGAGTAGGTTCAGATCACATGCACGTTTTGCTTGTTGGTAACCCGGATGGCAGGAGGAAACCGGGTCCAAAACCTTTCCGGTTCCTGGCTGCTTGGTTGGCCCATGATGATTTCGGCCGGGTACTCTCCAACGCTTGGTCACGGGGGAAGGATTTTGTCCAGTCCTCACAAGCGCTGACGAGGGAGCTGCGCATTTGAAACAAGATGATTTTCGGCCACATCCTGCGCCGCAAGAGAATCATTGCGCGTCGCCTTTGAGCCCTGGAGGAAGAGAATGAATGGGGTGACAATCAAGATTGACAGGATCGCGAGGAGGCTACGAGGAGGGAACTGGAGAATACTCTCTGGCAAGAGCTCATGCTCTGGTTCCAAAAGTCTAGAACACAATGGGTGGCGGAAGGGGATCGAAATACACGGTACTATCACCTATCCACTCTCAAGCGTCGTATTTTCAACAGGATCAAAGGCTTAAAGAATGAGGTGGGCGACTGGGTTTTTCAGGAGGATGAGCTGTGCAGGATGGCAAGGGATTCTTTTTTGTTTTGCTGTATACAGATGAACCGGGTTCGACCTTTACTCTCCCGGTGGCTTTCCCTCAACTGGACTCAAGCACGAGGGATGCTCTCCAAAGAGACATTAATCAGGAGGAAGTCTGGGCGGCAATCAAGAGCATGGGGAGCTTTAAAGCCCCCGGGAAGGATGGCTATCCGCCGATTTTCTACCAGAGATGCTGGAAGGTGGTGGCTGACCGGGTGTCGGCTTTTATTGCAGGCTTATTTGCTTGTCCTCGGCTTATTGCAGGAGTGAACTAGACATTACTAATGTTGATACCTAAGAAAGAAAGCCCATAGACTATTCAGCAGTTTCGCCCCATAAGTCTGTGTAATATGATTTATAAAACTCTAACCAAATGTCTTGTCCACATGATCAAACCTTGGATGCGATCCCTAGTCCATCCTACCTAGACCAGTTTTGTCCCAGGGAGACAGATCTCGAGCAACATAATCATCCTTCAAGAGGTTGTCCACTCCATGAACCTCAGGAAGGGTAAGCGGGGAGCTATAGTGATCAAGATCGACCTAGCAAAAGCCTATGATCGAGTTAGATGGCTGTTTGTGCAGGAGACACTATTGCTGGCGGGGTTCCCATGCAAACTAGTTGAGGTGATTATGGGTTGCATCTCCACCCCAACCATGCAAGTCCTATGGAATGGTACATGCACGGAGGAGTTTCAGCCAACCAGGGGTCTGAGACAAGGATGTCCGCTATCTCCGTACCTCTTCACCCTATGCATGGAGAGGCTGAGTCATACCATTCAGGCTGCGGTAACTTCGAAACAATGGAAACCATTTGTCATTGCTCCAGGTGCTACTCCACTCTCTCACCTGTTTTTTGCTGAGCAACAGGGAGAGGTGATCATGGAGTGTATAGATCGTTTTTGCCAAGCTTCTGGACAGCAGGTTAGCAAAGAGAAGTCTGTGATGATGTTTTCAAAGAATACGCCGCGAAGTGTGAGCTTAGAGGTGTCTCGACGGATGGGCATTCCAGCAACACAGGATCTAGGCAGATATCTCAAAGGTGTGATGAGATAGACAAAAGACTATGGAGATTCATATGGGGAGCTTTGGAGGAGAGGAGGAAGATCCCTCTGGTGCATTGGGAAGCTGTCTGCCGCCCGAAGAAAGAGGGAGGTTTGGGTCTTAGGAAAGCTCATGAATTAAACCTTGCTTACTTGGCTAAACTAGCTTGGCTTTTCATGAAAACCCCAGAGGATTTATGGGTGCAGGTCCTCCAAGAAAAGTATTTCAAAACCGTAGGTGGACAGTTGGTGGCGAAATCAGCAGCTCGTTCTTCCACTATATGGCGGGGCATCCGCAAGGCTTGGCCTATCATGGCGGCAGGCATGTCCATGAGCATTAAAGACGGGCAGACTACGTCTTTCTGGATGGATAGGTGGATTGATAGCGGCGAGAAGCTTGTGGACCACCTTTTGGAGACTGCGCTGCCAATAGACCCCAATTCCTCGGTGGCAAGCTTTGTCACGCACACAGGTGAGTGGGACTCTGATCTCCTACGTGATTACCTACATGAGGGAATGGTCTTGCAGGTACAAGGGATACAACCCCCTATTGCAGAGTCGGGAACGGACGTGGCGACTTGGGGGTCGGAGCAAGATGGTCGTTTCCGAGTGCGGTCTGCCTACGACCTAGCATCCAACACCCAGCAGCTCGACTAGGAGTTTGACTGGCGCATTATATGGAGATGGCGAGGACCTGCTCGTGTGCAGCATTTCATGTGGCTTGCTGCTCGAGAAAGGCTGCTCACCAATGCGGAGCGGGGGCGGAGACACCTGACGGACCAAACAGAGTGCACATACTGCCGATCTTCACCAGAGACAGTCATGCATGTGTTGCGGGACTGTCATTTTGCCCGGTTAGTTTGGATGCGGTTGCTACAGCCTTCTGATTACCAAACCTTTTTCAGATGTGAGTTGCAGGAATGGATTGCGAAGTATATAGCAGAGGAGCACATTGGCCTTTCTTTTGGCCTTACCTGCTGGTCCCTATGGAGGACTAGAAATGACCGTGTTTTTGGGGACAAGGTCACCACAGTTGAAGCTTTCCTACACCGCGTCCTGGCATGGATAACTGTCGTGAGACAAGCCATGGACAGAGACCGGACTGTTCACCACCCGTGTCCGCCCATTAGAACGGAGGAGTTGATCTCTTGGAAGCCGCCTCCTCTCGAGTGGGTTACTCTCAACTCTGATGGCTCCGTAAACCATGAGACAGGCTCTGCTGCTGCTGGGGGCCTGATCAGAGATCACCTTGGGCGGTGCATTGTAGCTTTCGCTATTAACCAGGGTATATGTTCGATTACGCGGGCGGAGTTGAGAGGCGCTGTGGAAGGTCTTCAACTAGCATGGAATCTGGGATGCAGACACGTCAAGGTGGATCTTGACTCCAGATGTGTTGTCCACCTTATCAGCAGCAGCGCGAACCCAAACCACCAGCATAGTGCTGTCATTGATCGCCTCCAGGCCTTGATTAGGCGTGATTGAGATGTTGTTTTCTCTCATATTTATAGAGAGGGTAATAAGTGTGTTGATTCCCTCTCGAATCGAGGGCATGTCTTACCGTTCGGTTTCCATTCCATTCCTGTTACAGATTCTTCTTTGATGTATTGGATTATGTATGATGTCCAGGGGATTTCTGAGCCCCGTTTGGTTATGAATGAAGGTTAGGATGCTCCGCATCCTTTTATAAAAAAAAAATTATAATTTTTTAACCAAGGGGCTTCAATAATATCGTTAGCCAATGAAAAAATATAATTATAATAATTATGAATGGATAATGAAAATCAGAGGATGCATGGACATAGGAAATCAAATTATGAATCAAGTAAGGAGGAGACGCAAAAGCAAAAGAAGAGAGAGGAGGAGGAGGGGTTTACTTGGGACGTTTAAGCCACGTGAGGCGGGAAACAATAGAGAGCAGGCATTCAACACCAAAATCACCATCACCCCAACCCAATTCGCCAAACCAAATTACGAGCCTCGAGCCTGGTGACTTTCCATTCGTCTCCGGTGACCCTGGTGGTCGTTCCCGGCAGACCGGCGGCGTCTTCTAAGCACCAGTCTCCCCGCTTTTCATTCCTTCACATTTCCATTCCTCCTTTCTTCCACGATTAATTTTTTTCTACATTAATCTAATTCCTCATGATTTGTTACCCTAATTACCATCATCTTCCTCCACGGGTTTTGCCCAAATCGGAATCCAAGCGCAAAGCACTGCGGGCTGTCGTCGTGATTTAAGACAATCGTCATCCATACGTTGAAATCAAATTCCTCCTTGAATCATTCAAGTTTACGATCAATCGATCATCATGAGAATCGAGGAAGGTAAGTAATTAATTCTTGAATCAATCTCCTAACTAGCTAGCTAGTAACTGCATGCCCTCTTTCTTTTTGTTCTAGCTATATTGATTATCAATTTTCGTTTCCTTGTACATGATTGTATCGACGATATCATTTCCTTCCCCCAAGTTTCCTAGGAAACAAAGTTTTTTCCTTACAAAGAAAAAAAAAAGAAAAGGAAAAAAAAAAGGAAATGAAATGAAAATATTGTGCAATTAATCCAATATAATGGAACAATTATTTTCAGGCAGCGAGAGAGACCGAGACGTAGACCTAGAGAAGGGGCTGTTGTTCAAATCTAGCCGGTCGAGCCCGAACCTGTTCTCCTCGGACGTGCCTTCGCCATCGTCGACGCCGAGAGGGACTCTGGTTCTGTCCAACTCAGGGAAAGCCCTGCTGGTCTCCAATTCCAACAAGTCCCTGGGCCTGTCCAGCTCCGGGAAGCGTTTCGACAGGAAGAAGTACGTGAAGCAGGTGACTGGGCGGCACAATGACACAGAGCTCCACCTGGCAGCCCAGCGGGGGGACCTCTCCTCCGTCCGCCACATGCTTGAGGAGATCAGCGCCCAGATGATGGGCGGCGCCGATTTCGACGCGGAGGTGGCGGAGATAAGGTCGGCGGTGGTGAACGAGGTGAACGAGCTCGGGGAGACGGCTCTCTTCACCGCGGCAGAGAAGGGCCACCTTGAGATTGTGAGGGAGCTGTTGCAGTTCACCACTAGAGAGGCTATTGCCCTGAAGAACAAGGCTGGGTTTGATGCACTCCACATCGCCGCCAGTCAAGGCCATCAAGGTACCTACTAATTATAATTTATAACTAGCTAGTAAGTTATATGAAATGAATGAATCTTGTTAATTAATTGCATCGATCGTGATCAATTCAACTACGTAACGTACGTACGCTGCTGCAGAAATAGTGCAGTTGCTACTGGAGGTTGACCCTGCATTAAGCAAGACGGTGGGGCAATCAAATGCGAGTCCTTTGGTATCGGCGGCAGCGAAGGGGCACATAGGCGTGGTTGAGAAATTACTGGACAAGGATCCCAGCTTGTTGGAGATCCCCAAAGCCAATGGCAAGAATGCATTGCATCTCGCTGCCAGGCAAGGCTACGTAGAGATCGTGAGAGCGTTGCTGGACAAGGACCCACAGCTGGCTCGGAGGACTGACAAGAAAGGCCAAACTGCGCTGCATATGGCTGTCAAAGGCGTCAGCTCTCAAGTTGTCAGGCTGCTGCTCTGCGCCGATGCTGCCATCGTCATGCTTCCTGACCGCCACGGGAACACAGCCTTGCATGTTGCCACCAGGAAGAAGCGAGTCGAGGTCAGTCAATATATATTCTCTTCGATCTCTCTTCTCTTCTTTTAATTTAATTTGTTGCTGAATCAATCAATGTATCATGTACGTCTTGCAGATAGTGCAAGAGCTGCTTCTTCTACCAGACACCAACGTAAACGCACTAACAAGGGATCACAAGACGGCCCTGGACATCGCGGACGGCCTGCCCCTGTCGGAAGAAATCTCGGAGATCAAAGAATGCCTTTGCAGCCACGGCGCCGTGAAAGCCAACGACCTCAACCAACCCCGCGACGAGCTCCGCAAAACTGTCACCCAGATCAAGAAGGAAGTCCACATCCAGCTTGAGCAGACCCGCAAGACCAACAAAAACGTCGACGGCATTGCCAAGGAGCTCCGCCGTCTCCACCGCGAAGGGATCAACAACGCCACCAACTCCGTCACCGTCGTCGCCGTCCTCTTCGCCACCGTCGCCTTCGCCGCCATCTTCACCGTCCCGGGGGGTGACGACAACAACGGGATGGCGGTCGTGGTCACCTCCCCCTCCTTCAAGATCTTCTTCATCTCCAACGCCGTCGCCCTTTTCACCTCGCTCGCGGTGGTGGTGGTGCAGATCACCGTCGTCAGAGGGGAGACCAAGTCGGAGCGGCGGGTGGTGGAGGTCATTAACAAGCTCATGTGGCTGGCGTCGGTCTGCACCACCGTCGCCTTCGTCTCCTCCTCCTATATTGTGGTCGGCCGCCGGAACAGGTGGGCGGCGATACTGATTACCGTCATTGGAGGGGTGACCATGGCCGGAGTCCTGGGAACGATGACGTTTTATGTGATGAAGTCGAGGAGGATACGCCGGAGGAGGAGGAGGGAGAAGAGCAAGATTATTCACCGGGATGGCGGGCTGCCGTCCACTCATGACCGGGTGTCGGATTCGGAGACGGAAGTCAACCCCATTTACGCTCTTTGACTTTTGTTGTTCCAACTTCTTTTCTTTCCTCTTTTCTTTCTGGAACTGAGTTGAAGTACATACATGTGTTCGCTTGCGTGGATTGTATATCTTATCTTAAAATATATTAAAGAGGATTGAGATTAAGACCCCCTCCACGTCAGCTTTAAAAGCCTGGCCGCAATTTTCGGTAATCTGAGCTTTTTTTATTTTTTTACCATTCACGTTCGCCTCTATGTCAAATTTTTTTTTCTTTTTTTGTTCAGGCTAACTACTCATGTTTTTTTATCCCCTTTAAACCGTTCCCTAGACTCCTCCTTGCACTAGGTTTTTCTCTTTTTCTTTTTGATCAATTTATTTTGGATGGAGATATGGGAGGAAAGAGATGATGAAATAAATTATAATTATTGAGGATAAGTTGATGATTACTTATCCTCAATAATAATAATTTAATTCATCTAAATAATAATCATAATAATTTTTAATATTATTAATCAAAAATATGTTTTAAAATATTAATGGTAAATTAATCAAGAGGTAATTTGGAGAATGAAATCCGAAGTATAGATTCATAGAATTTAGAGATTTAACGAATATGGTTTGTTTCTCCATTTTATATGTGTATTTTAGGTTTAGAGATTACAAATTCTAAAATCTCGATATATCATAAATAGAGATATTTTGTATCTAGATTCACTCACTAACATATGTTAAATAATCCTTACTATTTGGGTGGGAGGATTGGCCATTAATTCATGTACGATTCTTCCTCATAGATTGATTGAGCTTCACACGCAAGACGACAATATATGCCCACCAAACTTTCCCCGAAGAACTTCATCAAGATGGACGGACCTTTTGGTGTTTCTTTTTACTTTTAACTATAAGTTGAGATGCGAGATTTCTTCAACTTTTGGTGGTGCCTCTAGGCCTTTATTTTTATGATGGAAACTAACTGTGCGGTTTTAGAAAATTATTACTTTGATAATCATATTACACATATATGCATAAATTAAAAGTTACCTGCCCAAAGGGCAGGGTTAATGCTAGTTGTATGTATGTAGCAACAAGTTCTATTCTATACGGTGGTTGTTCACTTCTCCCCAGGAATAGAGAATTATAAAAATGGAAGGAAAAAACCGTCAACCTCCAAAAGTAATTTAGGGGAAAATGCATGGTCATCCAATCCAAATACGCTGAAATTGAAACATGTTCAGGGATATTTTTGGGATGAGATGTCTAGCGCTATAAATATTAATAAAGAGGGTAAATTGCAAGATTGGTCATTAGGTTTACTAAAAACGTTCATATTTGATCACTATAAATATTTAAATCCATGTGATCACTAACATTAGTTCAATAGTTTAATTTAAGTCATTCTTTGTTAGTCTCCGTTAACTTTTGCTAAAGTGGCAGTAACCTTTCATACTTGAATGAGTGACGTTGCTATTAAAAATAAAAATTAATCTTTTAATTTTACACCTATTTTACACAACTATTAAAAAATTAATCTTTTAATTTTACACCTATTTTAACCTTTCATAATTAAAAATAAAAATTAATCTTTTAATTTTACACCTATTTTACACAACTATTAAAAAATAATTAACAATTAATCATAATAAAATTTAATCTCTTACGATTTCCACCTCTTAATATAAATAAATAGTAAAAAATAATTATGATTATCAAAATTATAAATAAATCCTTTCCTTAACACGACAAAGACCGTCGAGCAGGTAGCAATCGGGTTGACGATCTGGAGGCTACCGGACGGCGGGTACCGGTGGGGTGGTTTACTAGAGTCATGAGGGGAGAAAGGGAGCTCTTAATAGTCTACACAGAAATGGACGACTGGTTTAAAAACACCAACGACAACGGAGGCTTTCCTCGATGCATCTTGTGGGGATCGTGAGGAAGTCGAACCCGGAGGGACAACATGATGCTAGCGCGCAGAGGCAACAACCGCTTCGGTGTGTTCCATCTCTGCCAAATTTACTGGCACTGTTTGCTAGTTTCGTCGTGGTGGAAAGCTTCGATTCAAGATCTAGATAGTTGAGCAGTCGGTCACCAGCCTTCATCGTGACCACTTCGTCGGCAAGGATGAATTGATGGCAGGAGGTCAAACTGTGAGGCAAGATTAGTACTGACGGCAAAGTCGCGTGAAATCGGGCGAAAACTATCTCTACGCATATATTCTAAAATGTCAGATCTATTAATCATGAAAATTGATTTATAATGGGCTAACGGCGAGACTTAAACATTTGGTCAATTCTTTATAGAGCAGCAAGCTAGATTTTGTAACATCTGCTTCTTCATATTCTTTCTCTGTTCTTCCTCGTCCACCGTCGACTTCATCTTCCCCTTCCTCTTTTTTTCCACCGCAGTGCGCCTTTACACTCTTAATCTTCTTCTTTTTCGAGCTCTTTGATTTAGCGGGCTACGGCCATATCGGTGAGTCTTTCGAAAATGATTTCCTTGGCCCTGTTTTCATTGCCCGCCGTGGTTGCTTTGCATTACTGGATAAGCTTGTCGAGGAGTTTCAGATGGGGCGTTTGTGAAAAAAAGGGGAGAAGAGAAAGGCGTGGCCGATTAGAAGAAATTAGGTTTTCAATTTATTTTAATAGTCTTGAAAAAATAGATGTAAAATTAAAAAGGCTAAATTGTATTTTTTTATTTTTTTTTTAATAACCACGTCACTCATTTAATGAAGGTTAACTGCCACATCAGCAAAAGTTAACGGAGAGTAACCAAACTTGAAATGTTGAACTAATTTTAGTATCACAAATGGAATTAAATATTATTGAACATTTTTACTAAACCCAGTGACCAACCTTGCAATTTACCCTTAAAGAAGACGACATCAATATTGATTAGGTACTAATATCATTGTACATGTCAAACAGTGGCAGACCTGTTCAATGCCAAGGGTAGTCAGTTGACAAACCTTGGCTAAAAATTTGGAACAAATTAGCATAGGAAAAAATATATTGTTGTTAGCATGATTTGAACCCTTGACATTTTGACAACCCTTACACCGAATAGAAGTTCCATTAAACCACTATCCAATTGTTATTATAGACATTCCAAAGCAAATATATAATGCTCAAAATTAATTCACGTCTAATCGGCCGAATCCAAGTCCCATTAAGATTTTATTAAATCTCCTTCTCTTTTTTGGGAATGAAAACTCTACCCCAATAAAAAAACAACTCTCGACCCTCTGACTTCCAATATTCCAATTACAATTCCCAATTTTTTGACAGAACCCTTGCTTGCCCTTCTTCTATCATTGACAACTCATTGATGTACTTTATGAATTAAACTTTTTATTTATTTATTTATTTTTGTGAATACCCTTGGCAAAATTTATGGGTCCGCCACTAATGTCAAATATGTCTAGAATATTTCCCCATAAATAGTTCGCCAACAAGATACAAGATGTTTGTAACGGTATACGGTATAACCTCTATAGTTAATACTTGATAAATTAATAATCTAGTATAAATTAATAATTTATCCGCTCTCGACATGGGCAAGTGTAAGAAATGAGAAAATTTAATAAAATAATAGGATAATAATATTTTACAACCAACCTACACAAATAAATATATTATTCAATTGGGTAATATCCATTTTTTATTTAAATCTTTTTCAAATTCTTTTATATCATTCAAACCTATTAAAATGCTATTAATTAGTCAAATATTTCGTAATGCATCAAAGTATTAGCCATTTTTACGTTAGTTTTAATAATTTTCTAACTCTTTTCGTAGTTAAAATACTAAAACTTGGAATGTTGACCTTCATGCGTCTCTTCCAAGTTAATATCATGTTGCCAAGTCAATATTACTAACAAAATTGCTAACTGAAAGTAGGAGTGTTCAAATAAATTGTTTCCCATGGTAACCATATTAACCGGTAGCATTCGGTTAATTTGGTTTGGTTAATTTGGATAATTGGTTTGGTTTGGTTAAACAATTTAGCTTATTTGGTTTAGATGGTTTGGTTTGGTTTCAAAACTGCTAACCAATGAAGTCAATTAACCAATTAATGATACACGTAATATACAAAATTATTTATACTTCCATGCAACCAACCAAACCAAACTTTCGTGATTCCCTCTTTTATTTCCATATGCACAACAAACCAAAACATAATGGGTCAAAAATTAAATGGGCCTACCTATTTACTAAACCAAAACATTTTGGACAGCTACTAGACTTTAGGATTACGTACAGTACCATGACATCCACCTCAAACTACGTATAGTTTAAGTGTTTTGTAGGAGACCTTTAACTTCCTGATGAGTGGTATTAGTATGTAGTTAATATTTATATGTTAAGGGTTTGTTGTAAGCTAACTATATTAGGTGCAGAGATGATGAATGATGTATTAACTCGAATGATGATGATAATCATGGATGGTAATTCTTATTATTATTGCTTATATATAATGATAGTTTATGATAGTAATAACATATGGTTATGTTTTATTCATTAATAATATAATTGGTTTCATGTAATGTTATGTTATTTGGTTAATCCGATTATCCGATTAATCAAACCAATTAAACTTTGGTTTGGATAATTTGGTTTTCGTATTAATTTGGACGGTTTGGTTAAGAAATTTTATTCCATGGATAATGAAATTTACGCTTAATTGGTTTGGTTATTAGCACAGTAACCATTTGAACACCCCTAAATGAAAGTTAACATTTAACTAATTCTTAGTATTTCGATAGGTTTGGATAATATAAAAGAATATGAAAAAGGTTTGGATAAAAAATAGACATTACCCTTTTTAATTCTATAAATTAATAGTTTTAACATTTAATTTATAAAAAAACATGAATGTATAGTTATTTGTTTACATATTTGATCACTCATGGTAGACTTTTGAACACATTTAAAATGAGAAGACATTGTTGAATATGATTTTTACAATTTTTTGTAGTATTTATAGTAATAGGTAACCATATATTCGATGAATTATTTAAATGTATGATAAATGAATATAGAGGTGCAAGTAATGAATTTAAACCATCTACAAAAATACATTAAATATTTATCTTGGACACCTAAACTAAAACATGCATGAATACATAGTTTTCATCTATTAAATTTTAATACAATGAATATGTAGAATATGATAAGTTATCGTATAAATTTGAAATATATTGAATATATGATGAATATGTATACTCAAAGTAATTGTGTACGAATTTGGACGATTAAAATAATACAATGAACATTAAAAGCTAAGTTTATCAAAATATAACAAATTATATTTGTACTAAATAAAAATAATACACCACGTATGAATCTAATTTTAAGGTTATAAAGTCTCTTATGTTAACAATTTACATTATATAAAAGAAAACTCTTTAAATTACTAAATTATTAATTTATC